AGGAGATACAGGGGAGAACTTGGCCTTGGGGCCCTGAGGAGATACAGAAGATAACTTGGCCTTGGGGCCCTGAGGAGATACAGGAGATATAGCCCCTTACATAGACTCTCAGCCAGACAGCTGTGGCCCTGGCCCTGCTCGATCACAAACCCTCCAGCTGGTCTTCACTGCCCCAGAAATTGGGCCATGCCCTCTTGCACCTCTATGATAACAGCTATTAAGAAAGGGTTTACCAGCTCAGCTGCAAAACAAGTTCAGGGCCCTGTCTAGTGCTGGCTCCATCCTCCTTAGCAACAGACTGGGCTCAGCTACATCACATGGTGTGGGACTTGCTCCCACGCCTGTGAAAATCTACACAAGTCAGATCTCTGCTTGGGAGATTTGAAGGTTTTTCCTTTTGGCTCCCCTCATTACACTATGCTATCATCTCCCCTCACCTAGCTTCTCTCTGGGTTTTGAAGGGAAGGTCTTCAGTTGGGGCCCCACCATACTGTCGTTGGCAGGATGTCATATCCTTCCTAATTGGTCTCCTACCGCAAGACAGGAAGCTCTCCCTCAAGATGAAGCTCTCCTGAAAGGTAATTTTGCATCTGCCTCTCTGACCAGTGATTTGTTCCAACAGTCACTACCTCTGAAAAATGATCCTTAGCTGGGACGACCATTAGTCAGTGCTGAGTATCTGCCCCTTCCTGGGTCCAAGGAATCCTGTTTATTGCCAGTCTCTCTGAAGAGGCTATTCCTGGACCATTCTCCTTTTCTACTCGCTTCTTCAAAAGTTACTAGGACAAAGTCCCTACTTTTGGGACTGCTTAATATCAAATTTGGTGTATCTGCAGGTTACAGACGGCTAGCCCAGGCTCTCTTGCTCACAGAGCAATGGGTAGGTGGGGAGGAAGACCAAGAGAAATGGCTGGGCTCCAATATCCAGGCCTAGGAGATTTCTATACCACTGTGGATGGCTCTCTCATCTGTCTCCATTCTACAGTTATTCTCTGGCGCATGCATAAACACCTAAGGCAATTTCGCTAAGAACTCAGTGTTAGGAGATGCTGCAGTGCAGTCCAGCCCAGAATTTGCATCATTAGTTCCGGATCTTACTCTGGAGTCTCTCAGGGAGACAAGGGAGTCCTTCCAGGCAAGGTATATTATATATGCACAGCAGTGTTGCTGAGCACATGGGCACTCTTCATACCTAACCAGCCTGGTGCTACGGAGCGGGGAAAGGGTTCATTCCCACCCCAGCATTACAGAGCGAGTAATAACTGAGAAGACAATTTCCCGCCTCTATGTGTATTTGCATCTTAAAAGGCATCTTTGTCATCTTCTTTCGAATTTGGGGAATTGAACCCAAGGCCTTCCCATGGCATTCCCCCACTTACATCTCCAACGACGTTGAGTCTTACCTGAAAAGCTTATGGGGATTGGAGGTGCAAAATGTAAGTGGGACACAAAATGTTAAGCACTTTGCATTTTTTTTTTCACTGAACTTTCTTTAGCAAATAAAGGCTCCTATTATTGCTGACGCCACTGGAAGTGCTACTAGAATCAGCTGATGGGGAAGAGAGACAAACTTACCCCTTCCACCAGGCAAAGATGATGCGGCCCAACATACCCGTTGAGTCTGCGGGTGGGAAGAAGGTGTCAGTAAGGGCAAGGAATGAACCCGGGAGCTGCAGGGCAAGACAGACACTGGCACCGAACTGGCTGATTCACTTGAGGTCACGCTGCACTTGGGAAAACATCTGGTGTGACAAATTCTAGACAGATTTAATACGGAGGGTTCGCTGAGGTCAGCAGCTTTTCACCGTGTACAAAGCAGACAGGAAATATTGTTTGCAGCATCATTAGACAGGCTGTCCAAGAACCGAGCTGATGCTGAATAGCAGGAAAACTCTGAGATAATGTGAATGCTTGGAGCTAAGGGTATAATCTTGGTAGATTAACTCAGTGGTAGATTAGACAGTGGAGAAAACCACATGAGCCAAGTGGTCACACCAACTCGCTTAGGATTCTAATCTTGTGTGAGAGACTAACTCCTAGAAACTACGTTCAGCACAATATGCTCTTCAGGAGGCTCTACAACTACGGCACTGAGGCATACACGGCTATCGGGCACAACTGTTCAAAAGTTTGTCTAGTCTATAGCTGTTTCTGTAACAAAAAGGAAGAACTGAGCAGCTTTGCAAAATTGTCTGACCCATCAAACATCTGCAAATTCAGCCTGCCCCTACGGAGGGACAGCATCCATTAGGCCTAGCAGGAGGATTACGAGGAAGGGATGTTTTAGAATCAGACAACTGGGGAGAGACTCCCAGGGTAGCACCAGAAAGGACACAGATGGGGTGGAGGACTCTATCTTGCTTGAGTTTGAGGGCAGAGACCCTTAAACAGAGAATGCAAAGAGAAGCTGATACTTGCACAGCCTCCATGCTTGTGTGCCTTCTACTAGACATGCTGAGCCTTGGGCTTCAGGATTATTGCGAAGAGCTCTGATAGACACCTGAAGTACTTTCAACTCCCACAATCAGCAGTGTTGGTAAGGATCATTCTATTTCATAGGCAAAGCAACTGAATCTCGAAGAAAATATATGAACAAACTTTATATCAACTATATCTCCAACTTTTCTGAAAGACTGATGTCAGTGGGAATACAGGGGTTTACCTTCCCTCACTATTGCAATCTTTCAAAAGATATTATGTGTAAGAAACTTTCCTATCCAGATTGCTCTACTTCTGCATTGCTGTCCCTTGCCTGGACCTTATACAAGGTATCCTACTTTCTATAACTCACTTGAACTTCTTCTCTTCAAGGACATTATAAACAAAATTTTTATGTTTAAAATTTTTATATTAGACCAATTTGTCATTTTGAATGTGACAAGATTACTATTATTGATTCTGAGAGAGTCACTGGGACAGACTCCATTTCTTCCTTTTAGTTGCATCAACATGCCATATATCCTACTTGGGCCATCTGACAGAGTCAAGGGGAGGTCTGTGAGTCAACAGAAGCAGTCTCTAGGACCCTCATCACAGTCTGGAGGGTGGCACTATGATAAAATAATGAGATAATGTCCTATCTACTATCTGGAAGCTGATATTATCTACCAGAACAGGACATTTAATTCTTACTTCTTCTTTGCCTTACAATTAGCAGCGTTGAACATGTAGAAGTTTCAGTCTAACTGAAGAACTAGTAATCACCTTGTCCACAAGTTCTATATGGATGTGCTATAGAATCCCTGCAAAAGAGCAGCAGCTATGAAGTTTCTGCCCCCAGCCCATTCTAGTCCCATTGCCACACTTGCAGGCCCAGCTTGGGATGTGCACTACATGGAACCATCTTTGCCTGCTCCGTTCCTCTGATATCACCAACATCTCCACATCTCCACACTTAAAGGTCCATCTCCAATACAGCAGCTCATTCACTGGTTGTCCCTAGCCTCACATTGGTCATGCAGTTCCTGCACCTAAGGCTCAACACAAGGCAGGCCATAATCGCATATCACAAAGCCAAAAAATCCAGGTCACATCATGAAAACATAAGCAATATGAAAGGCCAATAGAGTGTGTCCCGACTCAATCCAGCAGTCCTCCAGAAATGTTTGTCAGTGAGAACTACATGAACCCAGGATACCAAATACAGAAGAACAATCATGAACTTCATTAAAGAATTCAAGGAGCTTAAGAAAGACTAAAAAATCAGCTCAATCAACATAAAGAGGATAACAATAAATGCCTGAATGCTGTCCAAGAAAACACTAATGGAGACATTCAGTGTCTCAAATATTAATTCAGTGAAGAGATAGAAATGTTGATGAGAACTCAAGCTGAAATTAAGGTGGAACTGAAAAACTTAATAACCCAATTAGAAAACCGAGGAGGGAAGTGTGTAAGTACAATGGATCTTGTAGAAATTAGAATATCAAGATCTGAAGATAGAGTAGAGGAATTAGACCACACAAGCAAAAAATAAAAACATATGCAAGGAACATGGAATAACTCTGAGGCACCAAGAAAGAAAAAAAAAAAACAACAAAAAACAGATCTTCAAATTGTAGGAACAAATGGACAAGAATTCCAAGTCAACAGGACTTCAACAAGACCATAGAAGAAAACTGTCCCAATTTAAAGAAAGGCATACCTATAAGATACAAGGAACACACAAAACACCACACAGACAAGACCAGAGAGACTCCCAGGACATACTGTAGTTAAAGCATTAAATATACAGAACAAAGAGTGGATATTGAAAGCATCAAGAAAAAAAATCATAAGCCACTTATAAAGAAAAACCCATCAGTATAACAACTGATTGAAAACCAAAGCCTGGGACAATGCACTTGACCTACTGCCAACCTAGACTACTGTACCCAGCAAAATGATCTGCCATGGTTGAAGGATGAAAAAATAGGCCAAAAGAACCCAAGTACAGTAAACCAGCCACACAAAGAATTCTGGAAGCAATACTTTGGACTAAAGAGAGGAATCAGCACAGCTGAGACTATAAAAACAAATAAAGCAATAATTTCCAAAACAACAGTGTAAAACTAAGAACACAAAAAAGAAAGTCAAGAATATGACAGTAATCAACACAAATCTTTTAATAATAATTTTAAATATTAATAATTTTAACTTTACAATCAAAAGACATGGCTTAGTTGAAAGGATTAAGAAACAAAATCCACCTGCCCGCGGTCTACAAGACATGTCACCTATCTTCAAGAATAAGCAAAACCTTGGAGTGAAAGGCTGGGAAAAGTATTCCAAAACAGAAACATTTCCAAACTCTAAGAAGCCAGTATCACTCTATACCAAAGCCAGTAAAGACACAACTACAACAACAAAAAGATAACTACGGGCAAATATAACTCATAAACATTGATATAAAATCCTCAATAAAATATCTCAATTGAAAACAGAATATAGACATATAACGAAAGACCATCTACCCTGATCAAGTTGCCTTTATCCCAGAAATGTGGGCTATATAACATCTATAAATCGATAAATACAATAAATCATATGAATGGACTTTAAAGACAAAAATCACATGATCATATCAATAGATGCAGAAAAGGCCTTTGACAAAATCTAACACTTTTCAATAAAAGTGCTAAAGAGAGCAGGACTGGAGAGAACATATCGCAACATAACAAAGGCTATACATTACATGACAAACCCACAGCCAACATTATCCTCAACAAAGAAAACTCAAAGTAGTCCCATCAGAATCATAAATGAGACAGGGCTGTCCACTGTATTGACTCTTTCTCAGTATAGGACTTAAAGCACTAACTAGAGCAATAAAATGAGAAGGAAATCAAAGGCAAACAAATAGGAAAGGAAGTCAAATAATCCCTATCTGCAGATTATATATATGTCTCAAAAATTCCACCAGAAAATGTCTAGAAACAATAATTATTTCAAGTACCAGAATACAATATCAGCTTACAAAACTCAGCAGTCTTTCTATACATGGACAAGGTAATCGTGGGAACACTGCCATTTACAATAGCTCCATCCCGTAACCACAATCTAGGAATAAACAAGTAGAAAGGTGAGAGACCTCTACAATGAAAACTTTAACTCTCTGAAGAAAGAGATTGAGAAAGACTGGAAGAGAGAAAGCCCTCCTCTATTCATGGATTAGTAGAATTAATATTGTGGAAATGACCATTCTGCCAAAAGCAATTTATAGGTTCACTACAATCACAATCAAATCCTCATGAAATTCTTCACAGAAATAGAAAATACCACCCTAAAATTTACTTGGAACCACAAAAGACACTGGATAGCCAAAGCAATCCTGAACAAAGATAACAATGCTGGAGAGGTTACTATTCCAGACTTCAAACTATATTACAGAATTACAGGTAACAAAAACAGTACGGTGCTGGCACAAAAGATCATGAAACAAATAGCAGATGTAAGTACAGGCATCTGACATTTGAGGAAGATGCTAACACATACATGGAGCAAGAAAAGAATCTCCCACAAGTGGCGCTAGGAAAACTGGATGTCTTCGTGTAGATAAATAAAATTATATCTGTATCTTAGCCAGTATTCTATTGCTACGAAGAGACACCATGACCACAGCAACTCTTACAAAGTGGGGTTGGGCCTGGCTTACAGTTCAGTGGTTTGGTCCATTATGATCATGGTGGGAAGCATGATGCGACAGGCAGGCAGATGCGGTGTTGGAGAAGGGGCTGAGGGTTCTACATCTGGATTTGCAGGCAGCAGCAACAGTGAGACTAGGTCTGAAACCTCAAAGCCTGACCACAGTAACACACTTCAACAAGGCCACGTCTCCTAATAGTGCCACTCCCTGTGAGCCTATGAGGGGCATTTTCATTCAAACCACAACCTATATGTATCATCTTACACACACACACACACACACACACACACACACACACACACACACAGACACAAAACCTGACACACTGAAACAGCTACAGGGTAGTGCCCTACAGGATAACAATGGACAAGTGGGACCTCATAACACTAAAAAACTTCTATACAGCTAACAGCACAATCAACTGAGTGAAGAAGAGACCAACAGAATATTTTCCAGCTCTACATCTGACAGAGGATTAATATCCAGGAACTCAAAAAACAAAGAGTCAGGAAAAGAAATGACCCAAGGTTTTTAAAATGGCATATGGATCTGAATAGAGTTCTCAAAAGAATAAATAAAAATGTCTAGGAAATATTAAAATGCTAGGGTTAGGTGGGTAGATGTGGGGTAGGAGGAAACCCTCATTCACTCTTGGTAGAATTGAGTATGTGGAGAATTCCTACTCCACAGACACTTGCTCAGCCTTGTTGACTGCTATTCTTTTCACAGTAGTTAGGAAATGAAAACTACCCAAATGTCCTTCAACAGATAATGGATACTGAAAATGTGGTACATATATACACAATGACATTTTATTCAGACATTAAAAAGATGACATCTGTAGGTAAGTAGATAGAAGTAGAAAATATACTGAGTGAGGTAGCCCAGAGCAGAAAGACAAACACCCTATGTTCTCTCTTAGCTTTTATCATAGTCTTAAATCTTTAAGATTTGAGTATATTACCTGGAATAACTTCAGAAACCAGGAAAGAGAAAAGAAACAATGGTAGGAAGGAAAGCAGGAAGAAGCAGCTCCAGGGAAGCCAATGGTAGGATACAGGTGTCATGTATGTGCTGAGAACTAAAACCAGGTCCTCCAGAAGAGCAGCCCATGCTCTTAACTGCTGAGCCATCCCTCCAGCTCCTACACCTGATATTGTAAACCTATCCCAGTTCCTGTGCCTAGTGAGGCCATGGACCCTAGAGGAGGACCCACTGGTTCCCATTCCCTCAACTAGTATAATTCCTTACTACATTCTAAATGCTAATTCTTATACCCATAAATAGCTCTCGTCCTTTATTAAAGCAAAACAAAATTCTTTTTGCAGCCAGTGAAAGCCACAGCTGCTCCAAATACAGAGTACAGCTGATCATTGGGTGCCCAACCTCAATGCAATACAATTCCCACATCTAAGGTTCAGGGAACATCTCAGAAGATGGGGCAGAAAAATTACAAGAGCCAAAGGACCAGGATGTCCGCTTCAAGACAGCGCCTTCCATGTATGTTCGGGAAGCTGAATTCATGAAATTGCAACAACGTGGTTGCCTAGACAAGACCTGAAAAATGATGCCAACTGACATGCCAGCATGGACAGGGGGAAGCTCCCAAGGCTCCACCCCTCAGTAAAGAGGTACAGGCCATTAGTAGAGGCTGAGGGAGAATCTGTCTTCTCCAGGGATGTGTTCCCTGAAAGGCTGTCCAATCCCAATATTAAATGAACTTGGCGGTGTGTGTGTGTGTGTGTGTGTGTGTGTGTGTGTGTGTATGTGTGTAACAATAATTAAAAAAAAAAGAGGCCATGTACCTTCCCAGTGGAGGTGGTGAGAGAAAAGAGGAAGTAAATCAGGTAAATACACATATATATGTAAAGTCACATACAAAATTCTCAAAACAGAAATAAAAATAAAAACATGTAAGTCAGTTGGCCTGGGTCTGCTTGCAGTTTCTCTGCCTATAGTAGTCATTAAGAGACACATTGTACGGAAGAGGGCAAAAAGGCCTGGCCTATAATATTAAATATCGGCTGCTAGTGATATTACTAATGTTCATTACAACAACTGACACAATTCCATTTGGAGTGTGTGTATTAGTTGGGGTTCTACTGCGGTGATAAAGCAATGGCCACGGGCAGCTTGGGGTAGAATGCTGGAGTACTATTTTGTGTCCTGTTGAAAGGCTGCCCTTGTATACTCAAATGCTGATTTCTGGACCAGCAGAGAGCTGAGTGCAAACTTTGGTATTGTCAAACATCTCCTGTCCCAATGCTTTATAAACATTGAGTGTTTTCCATCACCTTCTGATCAGTTAATAAAAAGCTGAATGGCCAAAAGCTGAGGAAGGAGAGAACAGGCAAGACTTCCAGGGAGATAGGAACTCTGGAAAAGAAAGAGATGCAAAAAGATTTGCCTATGAGACACAGATGAAGTCAGACATACGAAACTGGGGAGAGGTAAAGAGTCACGTGGCAGAACACAGATTAATATAAATGGCTTAATTTAAGTTATAAGAGCTCGCTGGGAACAAGAGTAGGCTAAGGCATAAAATAAAAATAATATAAATAATACTATAAATAATAAAATATAATATAGTAACATAAATAATAAAATAAAAATAAATATGTCTCCTTGCCATTATCAGAGACGGGCATAGAAAGTATGGTTTTATATATGGTTTTAGAGGAAAAGGTTTATTTGGCTTACATAGTCAGGTCATAGGCCACCAAGGGAAGTCAAGGCAGGTACTGAAGTACAGCAAGATCCGAGAGACAGGAACTGAAGCAGAAGCCACAGAGGAGTGCTGCTGGCTTGATTGCTCAGCTTGCGTTTTTATACAGCCCAGGGCAACCTGCCCAGGGATGGCACTGCCCAGTGGACTGAGCCCTGCCACCTCAACCGTCAATTAAGAAGTTCCCCAGCAGGGTGGTGGTGGTGCACAACTCTGACCCCAGCACTCTGGGAGGCAGGGCAGGCGGATGGAGTTCAAGGCCAGCCTGGTCTACACAGTGAATCCAGGACAGCCTAAGCTATAAGAGAAATCCTGTCTCAAAACAAACACACAAACAAAAAGGTTTAGACCAATCTCATGGAAGCATGTTCTTAACTGAGGTTCCCTTTTTTCAGATGACCTTAGCTTGTTTCAAGTTGATAAACAAACAAACAAACAAACAACAAACACTTTCAAGCAAAACTAACCAACCAACCAACCAGGGGAGTGTGTGTCTGAAAATGATTATGTCATACATTCCAAAGCCAGGCAGAGTAGTACGTGCCTTTAATTCCAAGTAAAGGCTCCAGTGATAAATGAAGATCTAGGCTAGCCTATGCTACACACACACACACACACACACACACACACACACACACACACACACAAAATTCCAAGAGTGCCTCTTATTTGGTGCTCTGTGTATAAACATCTTACCCTTGAGAAAAACAAGCTTGTAAAATCCTTTTTGATAAAACTTCTGCTTTGACCTCATAATGAGCATATAGATAAAATCACTGCTTTAAACATAATAAACAAAAGTATCTAGTTAGATACTGTTCTAATGAAAGAACTTACAATCAATAGTCCTACTATAACTCCCTTTTATGTAACGATTGTATCTATTCTTGAATGCGGTAATTTTTCTTACATAGAAAACCTTTTGTCTTAGAAGGTATAAACCCCAGGACAGAAATAAAGTTGTTGGCTGGAGTGTTCCTCCATCCACCAAATATGTGTCTGTCAGTCTGACTGTCTGTGTATATGTATACATGTATGAATGTCTGGGTGTCTGTATAAATACATATATATATGTACAAGTGCGTAAACATCAGCATGATGGGGGCTCCCTTGAATGTCTGTGTGAATGTGTACATGTCTGCATGTCTGGTTGTTTGTCTGTATGAACATATGAACTAATACTATGGAATGTGTAGGAATGCATGATCTCTCTCTCTCTCTCTCACTCACTAATAAAGTGCCTCTGAGCCCATGCAGGTGGTCTGCTGCTCATCCCTGAGTAAAAGAGCTTAATTTACTTACTAGTGTAAGTAATTAAGTAGTAAACCCTCAAAAAAAAAAAAAAAAAAGCCTGAAGAGTAATTTATCAGGCTGACTCTGTGTGCATCTCCTCAGTCTGTCCCCTGTCCATGTCAAAGCTGGGCTTTGACATCTGGACTGGCTTTGTAGATGGGTCTGGCCTCAAACTTACGGAGATCCGCCCGCCTCAGCTTCCCTGAGTGCTAGGATTAAGGCGTGTACAACTATGCCCGCTAAATGTGCTCAGTTCTAATAGTGGGACCTTCTGATCGCCAAACAGTCCAGGGATGCTCACCAAAGATGGAGCCACGCCTCTGACAGAAGGTGCGCTTGCCCCGCCCCTTGGGTTCATTTAAATTCACCGAAAATAACAGGGAAAGACAGAGGCCGGAAGACTAAGCCACAGGCTCTCCTAAACAAGTGGCAATGAAAGAAGTGGCAATTTCCCTTTTCTCTGCTTCACTCTCCAGGAGGCACGATGCTAAATAAGCTTTGTTTTTCTTGGTGATTTTCAAAAAGCTGTAAACTCTCAGCACATGGTCACTATAATCATTTTTACATCTCTGTCTACTATCCCAGAGGAGTCAGAATACATTTTATCAATTCCATAACCGTTCTCCTACTGGGAAGTTTTATGTAATAAACTGCATTTCTATGCCATCCTGCATAAAGTAGGATAAAAGCTGATTTAAGGACGAGGGACCCAGATGACTTAGAGCTTCCGAAGTTTGCTTGGGTAACAAGTTGTGTCACTTAGGCTGATTCACTGAGGAGGGTTCCCCGCAATGGGCGAGATGGGGGCAGAATACTGTTCTAGGCATGGGGACACACAGCTTCTGTGTACTGTCTAATCCGCCTGCAGACCGTAAACAACAAGAGCTACTGTTGGAGGTCAGAACCGCAGGGCTAAGATTTGCCAGAGCGAGAAGCGAGGGCAAGGCTCGCGGGATCCAGCTCACCTTTCACGAGCCAGGTGGACGTGGCAGCTGAAACAGAGGCTTTTGCGTCGCCGACCCCTAGGCCCTGCAATACTGCCTGGGTAGCTAGGGAGCCAGAGAGGCTGGAAGCAAAGGCCTGGGGAGAAAAGAAGCGGCGTGAGGAGGGGTCGCAGGAGCACAGGGCTCACAACGCTACTCCAGACCTCACTGGTGCTGCGCCCCAGCCTCCCACGTGCAAATGCAGATGCAGTGGCCTGTTCGCTGGGTCCTCGGCCATAAACCGCCCCCTGCCCGTCCCCGCACGGCGTCGTCCGGCCGGACCTGCACGGAATCCCACAGCTGGTACGGCAGGTAGTCCGGGCTGACGCTGTCAGGGAAGCCCCGAGGCAGCAGCACGGCTCGGAGGCCGGAAAGAACGGGCAGCGCTGCCCAGGGCGCCCCGCCACCACCCGCGTCCTGCCCGGGCTTCGCCGTCGGGGCCCGGGACAGCCAGCCCCGGCGCGGAGCCCCTTCCCAGTGCAGGCTCCCGTCGGCGGCAGCACGGCAGCCGCGCGGGGCTCCGGAGCCGAACTGCTCCGTGCACAGCGGGGCCCGCAGGCTCGCGGCGTCAGCCATCTCCAAGGCCGAGTCCATCCAACGCGGCAAAAGCCACAGGAACAACATTTCCTGTTTGGCTACGGCGGCCGCGGAGGGGCAATACTCTTTCAACAACTTAGAAATGAGGTTGTCGTGTGCCCTGCCTTCCTGGGACGCACCCCAGGACGGACCTTGCCTGTCTGCCGTGCTTTGGTCCTTAGGAGCAATGGGGGAGCCCGTTGACCCTGAACTCCAGTAATCGGGAGAGGGAATGATGCCCTCCCGGGAAATAGTTGTGGTCGAGACTCCACTCAGATCTCAAACTTCTAGTTGTGTGAGTGAAGAGTATCCCTCTCTGGGACGCAGGTGCCTGTTTTTGGCTGTGAGGCCAGGGACAATATGGTTTTTGAAAATTTGAAAATTAGCTTGTGACTTAATGCGCTTCATTACGGCCGTCTCATGCGTACTTTGTCCCTGTTGTTCCTGTTTACCATTGCCTCCCCAGTTCCCCTGCCGGACTCCTGCTGGACAGACACTCACTCACTCACGCACCCCGAGCTCCACCCCACCCCCCCTCCCCCCCCCGTTCCCGCTTTTGTCCCCTCCTTTCCCCCCCCCCCCCCCCCCTCACACTCCCCCCCCCCCCCCCCCCCCCCGTCTTCATGGTCCCATTTCTAACTTCATGACCTATACCTCCCTCCCTCCACATACACAAATACAAAAATTCAAATCTAGGACTTGCATAATGAGAGAAGACACGGGACCTGTGTCTTTCTGACACAGTCTTCAACTCATGCTCCCGCAAGTGTCATGATTTCACTTTTCTTTATGGGTGAATAAAATTCCACTGTAATTCCACATTTTGTGGCCCAGTTGCCTATTGATGGAGATCCAGACTGATTCCGCTTCTTAGCTGTTGCAGACACTGCAGCAGTAAACAGAGACGCGCCAGCATGTTTGTGGAAGGACCTAAGGCCCTGCGCGCAGCTGCAAGTGGTAGAGCTGTAATCATACAGCAGTTCCAGTTTTTCCTTTGATTCTCACAGCAGCCACACCAGTTTACATTCTCAGCAGCAGCAGAAAGGGTTCTTTGCCAACATATGTTGTTGTTTTGTTACTGAGGAAACCAAGGTTCCCAAGAGAATGTCTTGGTCTCCTTATTGGAAAAAAAAAAAAAAAATGGAAGCTGAGAGAAGGCTTAATGTTCTTCCGGAAGATCAGCGTTCGGTTCCCAGCACTCGGGTCAGGTGAACTAGACACCCTCTTTCAGCCTCCTCAGACAAACACACGGGTGTGCACCTACACACACACACACACACACACACACATGCACACACACATAATAAAATATTTTTTAATAAAAGAATTTAGAAATGGAATGAACAGGAATCTTGAGGACAGTTTTATTAGTTTACCAGGAACACATAGGACAGGTTGTGTGGAAATCCTGTCAACTACCAAGAGGAGAGATGGAGAAAAATCATGCCTTGTAAATTAGGCCTGGAATAGAAGTAGACAGCCTATTAAGAAAGGGTAAAAGCTCTGCCAAGAACGGAGGGGGGCTAGGGCTGAGGAAAGAGCCTGAGCACCTCAGTCAAGGCTGTGTGCTCGTGTAGAGACATCACATAACAGCCCCTCTAGACATGCTGGGCGATGCAAATGGTCCCCCTGACCTTTGACCATTCCCGCCCCTTGAGAGTACACCCAGTTGGGCCAGATGGGCAAGATGGGCCTGGGTAACAACTATTGGAAAAGAACAGCACTGGTACCTAAAATCATTCCGGCAATATGGGGTATCTTTGCTGTGTAAATCTCCCATATGCCTAAGTGGCCAGACTGGCAGTCTCCTGCTAAAACTGTTGAGAGTGTAACCTGGGGCCAGAGCCAAAGGAGAAGTAGGATGACAGCGTACATGGAAAACATCAGCCCAAGGCAGGTATGCGCTAATGACATCTTCGGCTGGGGGCTGACTCTTGTTTCGGCATCAGCCCCAGTGGGCCAGGTGCCTACGCCAAGAGTTTTCCTTCGTTTCTCTCTGTGTGGAGGGAATCTCTCGTTGAGAAGGCGTGTTGTTTGTGTAAGGCTGCAATTAGATCAGCTCTACTGGAACACTAAGGACTGACAACACCATTTACCAATGAGTTCACAGCATCGAGGGGAACATACGTCGGGTGCTACTGAGCTGTGCTCTTCCGCTTTGTGTTCAGTAACCTTGTAGATTGAACATGACCTTGGTGGCGGCATTTAAGCCAAAGAAAGGGCAATATACAAACCTGAGTTTTTCTAGTTTGTGGTTTTTTTGGAGGCTTGAGTTGCTAAAACATCACATTTTTTAATTTTTTCTTTCTTTTTTGCATTTCTTTTTCCTGTTTTTCTATTGTTTAACTGAAAGCCTTTTCAAAGTCCTTAAGTATTTGCATCTTTTAATTTTTAAATACTTTAAATACTTTAATTTGAATTAAAGTATTCACAGAACATACATTCTTCCTTCTTTTTAATTTTCCGTGTCTCATGCCTGACTGCGGTGTTTGCGTGGGAAGAAGAGCATAGCACATCTACCGGAGATGGACTGGACACGGACTGATAAGAAGCTTCGTCATTCCAGAAGGCATTTCCACCTCTTTGCTTTGCTATGCCCAGTGGTGGCTGGGAGTGAACGTTATATCTTCACTTTTGGAAAACCAGCTGACAAAATCACTTCCTGTTTCTGCTGTTTACATTACACACTCTGGAAAATGTTCTGGTTAAAAAATAATCATTTCTCCAGGTAGTGAGGCCACATGCTTTTAATCCCAGCACTTGGGAGGCAGAGGCAGGCAGTTCTCTGAGTTCAAGCCAGCCTGGATAGCCAGGAACACACAGAGAAACTCTGTCTTGAAACAAACAAACAAAAAACAAGAAAGAATGAAAAAAAAAAAAAAAAAGATTTCTAACTCCCTCCCCACTCCCGTAGGTACAGAAGAAGGCAAAGCTTGGCATATAACATCTCACATCTGAGTTTTATTTCTTTGCTTTTGGTGGTGCTACGAAACTCCAAATGGATCCATCTGTATTTCTTTAGCTTTTAATAAAAATTCAAACATATTATTTAATAACGGGTAATAGACCACATGCAGCCTGGCACGCTGGTCGATGGATGCTTACCCTTCCCATCCTCAGAATTGAAAAATACATGTAATTGTTCTTATAGCTGAGAAAAGAAACTGGCTGATTTAGGAAGGAACTATTGTTATCTATAATGACTGCTCTCAGAATCAGCAGGAGCACTTCCAGCACATCCTTGGGCTGGCCACAAGGATGCAAAGCGTGAAACAAAGGAGAAACAACACCTAACACAGTGCATTGCACAAACACGTGGTATTTGTAATTGTTGACAGCTGAAGCATTGTACTCTCACTATTATTTTGTGTATTACAGCTATATGCTTGTTGACTACCATCATGACCAGAAAATTCTGTTATATGCCTCACTCTTTTCTCACTAGAAAATGAGTGCAGGTCAGGAAAGGTGCATTCCATTAATATCAATTAATGAATCAATATCAATTCTTAATTAATTATTAATTAAAAGTTGATATTGTTTATTTAATATATTAATGTTTATTTGTTAATTATTAATAATGGCTTAATATTTGTTAGTGGCTAATAAGTAATTAATCTTTATTAATTATCAAATTGGTTATTTATTGATTATTATTTGTGGATTAGTAAATTATTTGTTAAATTAATGTTTATTAATTAATTAATATAGCACAGTCCAGTGAGGCCAGCAAGAGCATTTTGGAAGAAGAAATCCAAAAAAAATCAGAAGAAACCTTTGCCCTTAGCAAGGGTATCTAAGGTTTTTTTCTAGAGCAGCCATTGCTCATCCTGTCCTGACCATTCCAAAGAGGGAAGTTCTGTCAGAAACATCAGAAGAAGCTACAAAGTGTTTGGCAGTTCCCGGCTGCCAGGTTACAACAGAGGAACAAGAGAAGGAACGAGTTTTGAACTCTGAAGCCTGGGATTGCATTTTCAGGCATATTCTGTGAGCGGTCACAAGGTGTTGGAAATGAGGAGCCCTGCTCGGCCTGCTTACCTTTAACTGGGGGTGTCTTAAAGGTCAGAGCAAATGTGAACCCTTTAGTGGTTTGCTGTCTTTGTTGACTGAGTACTGTCTGAATTGGTGTTGGGATGCAGTGGCAGCGTTTGGAATTACTTTTCAGAGAATGCTGTCATCTTCGTTGTTTCTTGTGTTTACAACAGAAAGCAGGCAGCTTTGTAGAGCTGTGATGAGCTTGTCATGCGTACCATTTTCAAACAGATACAATATTATATGACTTGCTTTCATATCTTAAAGGCACTTGAAAAATATCTATATCTCTTGTAGGTTTTGAAGTTAGCTGGCTCTTTGAAAATCCCTTCATTCAAATGTCATACCATAACCTTTAAGATAAGAAGCTTCATGAACCTTATGGAAAATTTTAAGTCTAACAGTAATATTTTGTATAACTTTATTTTTCAAGTAAAATTTTTATGAAACTTGATTTCTCTAAAGAAAAAAAACAGTCAGGTTGAGAGTTAGAATCATGTCAGATAGACTTCTACATCAAGATAAGTGTGACTACAATATCTGTGTGCAGTCCAGGGACATCGTGAGGGCCAGGTGTCTGTCGTGATCAGAGTGAAAGTCAGGTGGGGAGTCGTATCAGAGCTGACGGTGCAGTTCGAGTTCAGAGTCAGCCTTTGTTCAGGGCTCACTGCAGGGGGCAGATACAGTGTGACTGTAGCTCCATCTCACCTCCTGCCTGTCACCTCTTCTCTACAATTGGTTCAAGAGCTGACATCACAAAGCATCTTCATTCTTTCAGCTCGAGTTTGCTTAGCTTTTCTTCAGTAATGGATCTGAGATATGCTCTGATTCATAGCTTTATTTTCATCTTACTTATTTTATTGTTTTGGACTACTAGAGATCCCACCACCTCTAAAGACAAAGCTCAGAGCCTTCTAGATTGTCTTCTAGGTAGACTTATGACTAAACACATTCAGGATAGGAATGTATGAACATGGACACAATTAAAAGGCACCTTCTCAAATGCGTAGTTTATGGAATGGTTGGTGTTTAGTTGTTCACCTCACTAGACATACCTAGTGATTTATTTTCTTCCCTGGTCTCAGTGCTTGAGGAGGGAGGTTAAATAGCAAGCCAAGGCTTCTCAAGAGATTGCCTTCTGAGTAGTCTCTGCAGGGACACTGTGCAGAGCAACAATGTAAATACAGTGACTTCTTTATCTGGCTCCTCAGTGACTCCTGAACCCACTTAATTCTACTCCAGGTCCCGACCTTGGGTGAAACTGTTTACTGTCCTCTGTGCAAAGGTACTGGATTCACATTAACAGATTTGCCAAGGGATCCAAGGAAAAGTGTCCAGCCTCCATCAAAAGCAATCATCCTCAGAAGGGCATGCACCCTGCTTCCCTGAAACACTGTCACTCCCAGTAAGTCGGGGGGTAGTGGGGCTCAAAATTGGAAGGGTGCCTGGGACACTGCGCTGGTTCCCTCTTACTTTGAACCAGATCTACCCCTCAATTCTTTCTTTTTCTCTCTTTCTTTCTCTTTCTCTTTCTCTCTTTCTCTCTCTCTCTCAGATATTGGGCTTCATAGATGCACCTTAATCTCCTCAAATGTTCCCACTGGAAAGGAACCGTGGAAAACGACATGAAAGCACTCTCCCCTCACACCCCACCACTGCCCCATGCTTCCTGTTTGTGTTGTCAGGAGACTGAACTATGGTCTTAACATTTTTGCTTCATTTTTTTTTTCCTTCTAAGATACAGAGACTAACCTGGCTCTAGAGCCACCTAAACTTCCTAAAGTAAAAAGCCTGAAGCTCAAAAAAAAAAAAAAAAGTGGGGGATGCCTTTAGTCCATGAGTGACAGGAGACAGCCAAGTGGGGAAGCTCACTGCTTCTGCTTCTGAGACCTGGGATCTCTACTGGGTGGTGATGGAGCCCATGGTAAGGCATTTCCCACCTGATGTATAAGAGATGCACTCAATGGTTCCCAACAGCCTATCCACTCCAAATGACCACAATACTCCTCAGAGTGTCTAGGAGGTTGCTTTGTAATAGATGGTCCTAGAATATTGTCAAGCTGGAGCTAAAGGAGGGAGACGGAAATACCAAAACAGAAGATCTGGCAAAGATGACCCAGGCTTCCTGCTCGACAAGCAGGTCGGGAGTCACAATTTATGGAGGACTTCTATCTGTTCTTCTTCCTATCACCTTCCTCATCCAGAGCTTTGTCTTTAATCTGACTGGCTGAACATACATCCTAGTCTAGCATTATCCGGTGTTTTCTTAGAGCTGCCAACCTCTGCTGTACTGAATTAGATCCCTAAAACCATTTTTTAGAGTGCTTAATTAAGAAGGGGGGATCAAATGCTCCCACATCCAGAAACAATGGAGGAAAGAGCCAGGAGTCTTTTAAATCAGAATTAGTATTGGTCTTTATTGGGATGTCAAGGCACAGCAACACCATGGGATGAAGACACAACACAGAGCCAAGGCTTCAGGCTTCTTAGACGTGATGCCCTGAGCCTTGATGCTATGAGGAAGGCACTTCACTGCTTGGGGGATCTTTGGACTTCAGAAAGGTCCTGTATTTGGTCAGAAACTGGCTGCCCAAAGCACTCAGCTCCTGCTGGAGCTCTTTCAGAGTCTTGTCTTGCTCCTGCTGCTCCCCAAGCATGTGCTTCTTGTAATAGTTGATGTACAAGTTTACCCAGTCATCAACCACAGTGACCATGTTTTCCTCGGGGATGAGAGGATCAGAAAAGACCTGGGGGGGAGGGGAGAGAAGGGAGAGAGTTGGTGAGGGAGAATATGGCCAGCCATGTGGAGCGCCCGGTTGGTCTTATAAATGCTCACAACCTCTTTTCTTGGAGTTACACTCCCTCTTTCTAGATATTTGGACCAATGTCACCATTGCCCTTACAGTTTCAAACGAGCCTTCTTTGTCCTTCTCACACACACTCTCTCCATCTCTGTTCTTTGAAACAGGACACGAGCTTACCTGCTGATTCAGCAGAACGTTAAACTCCCTTATTCCTGTAGCGATCAGATCCTTATTGGTCTGAAAAGGGGCCATCTGTCAGTTTAAGAAAGAGGTGAGATTAATCCTCTTCTCCCATGCCTGAGTAGCCTCCCCAATCCTCTCACCACCCCCCACCCCAGTTAACATTCCTTATATCTGAGAGAAATATAAGGAATAGAACCCAAACCCCTTTCCTAGACTTTTTGAGCTCTGCTCTGTGCTGAAGTCACATTTCTACCAACATGGGCTCACCTTCAAGTCTGTCAGTGCTGAGCTGGCCTCACCCACACTCTCCGGGGTTTGTGTGTCCTCTGCACTAAGCTAGATGTGGGCAGTCAGGAGTTAGCTTGAGAAGGAAACGCCCCGCACTGAGGTCCTGAAGGAGCATGATAAGTCATCCTGGGGTGGAGAAGGTGGGTGGTGAGGAGTTAGAAAGATAGAGATACCGAGGAAAAAAACTAGATAACTGAAGCCATAAAATGCAAACAACAAACCAGAAGCACATGCTTACCCTTTCCTCTCTAACCCCAAAACCAGTCCGGAAGTTCTAAGGAAACTAACACTTACTGAACCCCATTACATAACGGGCACCTTTTACATCATATGCAATGTAAGACATTGTATCTCCAATCCACAGCTGCCATAGTAAGAGCAGTTTAGAAGCCCGGCCACCATCCCACATTCCAGAGGCAGAGGAAGGAGAATCAAGGTAAATGCCAGTCCCAGGATATAGCCAAACAAGAACCTGTTCTCAAAAGCAAAGTTTATGCTACATGTGTTCTTTTATGCCGGACACTTTTCCCAAGCATGTATTAAGCATTTATCTTTATAAAAATTCTTTTACAAAATGTAGGATATATACATAGTGGAGCTTTTTCAGCTATAAAGAAAAATGAAATTATGTCTTTGCATCAGCGGAACAAAGGTAACTCTGAATACTTGCCACTATCTCCAAATCATGTGTAACATCTAAATAGTTATGTCCTGGGCTGGCAAGATGGCTCAGTGGTACTTGATGCCAAGCCTGATGACCTGAGTTCAATCCCTGGGACCCTCATGGTAGGAGGAGAGAAATGATTCCTTCAAGTTATCATTTGATGTCCATATGAACACCATGGTGTATAGGCACATCTCTCTTACACACACACACACACACACACACACACACACACACACAAATAGCATGTACCACTTACCAAATCTGACTTAGACATCTACAGTTTAGCCCTCACCCTCACCTTATCTGGTATGTACTGACATCATTTCCATTTTTCAGATGGAGAAACTGAAAGCCAGAGAAACAAGTAACTCAAGATCTCACAGTTACAAACTTGCATTCCGAGTAAGTCCTCCTGGTGAATTCATGTACAGAAACTGGCTTCAGGGTTTAGTTCTTCTCAGAAGCTGGCATAAAAAAAATATAACATGAAGGCCATGGTGGTGCACACCTTTAATTCCAGCATTGGGGAGGCAGAGGCAGGCAGACCTCGAAGTTTGAGGCCAGTCTGGTCTACAGAGTGAGTTTCAGGACAGCCAAGGCTACACAGAAATCTTGTCTTGAAAAGCAAAAACAAACAAACTCAAAAAACAAACAAAGAATACAAAATGAATAAAGTGTAATTAATAATAATAAAAAAATAAAAAAACAAACAAAAAATCTCAAAGGCAAACCAAAACAAAATAAAAACACAATGTTTGTAACCTTCGCATTTTTCATTCTTCCTGAAGACTCAATTTTTCACAAAAGTGCTAGTGTTTGTCTCAGCCTTAGACTCTGTATGGGGTCAGATATAGTGGCATGGGTTGGAAGGGTGCCCCTAGATGCAGTTCATGATGAAGCCAGCAGTCCTTGAGAATCACAAGTTTCCAGGGTGGAGTTGTTAGCTGGGATCAGAGTTGGGGGCAGTTGTTATTCAAGAATGCCAGGCTAAGGAATTATGATATTTTATTTTCTGGTTTAAAGAAAAGGAGGAGGAGGAGGAGGAGGAGGAGGAGGAGGAGGAGGAGGAGGAGGAGGAGGGGAAGGAGAAGGAGAAGGAGAAGAGGAGAAGGAGAAGAAAAAGCTGCTACTGCTTTTGGCAAATTCCTATGTTAGGGACAGTTTCCTAAACTAGGTGGGAAGGAGAAAGGGAACAAAGAGAAAGGGGTGAGTTTAGAGGACAAGAAAGCCCCTGGCTTAGATTCTCCTCCTCTATCCATGGAGCTCTCCCCATGAAAAGACCTTCCCCCTAGGTTATACTGTTTTCTGACACTACTGCAACCTCTTGAGTTGGGGATCCTTACCCCCAAGGATCCTTAGAGGCCTTGTAGAAATAATGTCCTAATTTGGGGAAAGCTAAAGGGCAGAGAAGCCCTTCTCGGGGTGTTAGTGAACCAAACTGTCTACTTGCTACTTGAAAAACCCAGTGACTGAGGGAAAAGTACTGAGGCAAAGAAAAATACTTATTTAGAAAGTCAAGGAAACAAAGAGGCTAATGGCAACAAAAGCTGTCAGCTGTGTGGAAGGGCTTTATAGAGAAGAAAGCAGAGCAGCAAGCAAGAAAGAGCTAACAGCTTGAGGACATTTTAAAAACAACAACCTGAAGGCTGGTGATTTTATGGTGACATTCCAGTGGCCCTAATTTGTTTAGTTATTCTTAGTTTTGATGTCTTCTGCCTTGGAAGGAAAGAGAAGTAACAAGTTCAAGTCAAATCAACCTTGTTCTGGAGAAAATAGTTCTTAATGCAGAATTGAGCAGAAATGTCTGACTGAGAGATTAGGGTAGCAAAGGTCCTTAAACTGCTGCTGTGACTGGAGCTGGCTCCGGTTTCCCCTCGGTGTCCCAGTCCTTTGTGTTCTCTGTGAAGTGAATTCAGAGTGTGGTGCACAAAACAGAGTTTAATGCTTAATGATAAGGGATGAGGATAAGCAACAGCCAAACAGCCATTGTAGAGGAAAAAAAAAAAAAAACTTAAAAAAAATTTTACAATTTTTTTCATTTTATATCCCGATTGTAGCCCACTCCGTCATCTCCCAGTCTCACTCCCACCCCAGTTTTCTTCCCCTAGTCCACTGAAAGGGGGAGTCCTCCTCCCCTGCCATCTGACCCTAGCTTATCAAAATTGCCTGGATCCTCTTCCTCTGTGGCCTGCAAGGCTGAATCACCAGGGGCAAGTGATCAAAGAGCAGGCAACACAGTCCATGACAGAGGCAGCCCCTGCTCCCCTTAGAGTGAGTCCTTTATAACATCATTGTTATTGCTTTTGTTTGTTTGTTTCTTCTACACCAAGCTTAGGTTCTAAAAATTGGTTACATTGGAAATCCAAGGGAGTAATGCTGGTTGCAACATTGTTCTAAAGGCAGGTTAAGCCAACAGGTTGAGTACACACCAGGGTAAAAGTCATAAGTGACTGCAAGGTGAACTGTAACTCTGGCTATGAGGTCCTGCAAAAGCTCCAGTCTCTTGGAATGTAAGAGCTATTTCCAGAACATTGTATCACCATAGGGAGCAGGGAACAGAAGCATTCATGCTGATTCCCAAATTCAGCTATCTCCAGCTTTCTGAGGAAACTTCAAGCCCAGGTGTATTTTAGCTGATCTGATTTTACTTCGTAATTTAATTTGAGTAGATTTTATCTGGAAGCCGGCAAGCCCTATGGATTGTCCTACCATCTTTACACTCAGGTCTGCAGACAAATCATCTCACTGCCTGGCCTAGGACTCCCTCCTGAGTGCTGCCTTGAAAGCAGTGAGAACCTCAAGGTGATTTTAAGTTTATTAATATTATATTACTATATTATTATTGTCTATCACTAATAATCAATAGTAGCTCTTTTGCCCGTTCCTTTTTTATGGTGAGAGGGAGGAAAGGGAGACAGGCCTGATAGGATCTCTCTGGCCCTCTTCCCATCCTGGCCATGTTGAATAAATCTTGTTCTACTTCTTACCTACCACCCCCTCGGCCCCTTTCCTACTCCATGCCCCGCCCCGCCCCACCCCTCTACTCCATGTTTGTTTGTTTGTTTTCAGTTTTGCATGTGTTTACGTATTGCCTCATTATGCATTCATTTTTCTGAGAGAGGGGCTCCCTATGTATTCTTTTTTCCTTTTATTTATTTTTTTTTATTTATTACATACAATATCCCAGCTGTAGCACCCTCCCTCATCCCTCCCAATCTCACCCTCCCTTCCTCTTCTCCCATTTCTCTCTCCCAGTCCACTGATAGGGGAGGTCCTCCTCCCCTTCCATCTGACCCTAGCCTATCAGGTCTCATCAGGACTGGCTGCATTATCTTCCTCTGTGGCTGCTCCCCCTCAGGGGAAGGTGATCAAAAAGGCAGCCACTGAGTTCATGTCAGAAACAGCTCCTGTTTTCCTTACTAGGGAACCCTCTTGGGTTCTAGGTTATATCCATGAATTGTCCTTTGTTGGCATTTCAGTCTCAGAAAAGACCCCTGGGCTTTTCAGAGGTCTTAGAAAAGACCTCTGATCTCCTGCTGGAACTCCCATCCCCTCCAGGTCTTTCTATCTCCCCCTTCTTTCATAACATTCCCTGCACTCTGCCCAAAGTTTGGCTATGAGCTTCAGCATCTGCTGGGTAGAGTCTTTCAGAGGCCCTCTGTGGTAGGCTCCTGTCCTCTTCCCTGTTTTCTCCCTCTTCCAATGTCCATCCCATTTGCCTTTCTGAATGAGGATTGAACATCTTACCCAGGGTTCTCCATCTTCCTTAGCTTCCTTAGGTATAGGTTTATCCTATATTATATGTCCAATATCCACTTATAAGTGAGTATACACCATGTGTGTCTTTCTGCTTCTGGGATACCTCACTCAGGATGATCTTTTCTAGTTCCATCCATTTGCATGCAAATTTCATGATTTCCTTGTTTTTAATTGCTCTAGGCATTGGCCAGGAATTCAAAACCTAATTAGTAGTTGTTGCCTAAGATGAACACGAGGTGGCAAGAGCTCCCCTCAACTCCAGTGGAGGAGTGACCGAGCACAGCAAGCCCTGTTGTTTCCTTCACGCATCTCTTTCTTTTTTGGATTCCCTAGTTTTTCTTTACACGGAGTACTTTCTGTGGTTTATCTGCAAGCTTGGTCTACAGAGTGAACCTCTGTCTCAAAAAACAAACAAACATAATAATAAGAATGGTAAAATTTAAACACCGTCATAATATCTGATATTTAAAAATATCACTGACCTTGAAGGAAAGGGTGTTCCTCCATCATAATTGGTTTATTTTCATTCTGGAAGAAGCACACCTGTGTGCTCTCCTGTGTTTTGTTCTCACATATACCTACACACACTTATATCTTTGT